AAAAAGAAAACCCTCCCACTCAGAGTACTTTGGGCCGGAGCCCATCACTCAGGGTTCGGCCTGGCTGCGAGTCCTTTAACCTGGAGTTACGGGTTCAATTCAAGGGACAAATTCTGAAAGTGTAAGAAATTGGTCAAAATAATCTTTTGTGAAACTGTTGAATGATTTAATTTAAATGGACGAGAAAGGAGATGCCAAATGCTTTGATTATCATTGACTAGGAGAATAATAATGAGGCAGAATGCATGTGATTTTAGAAAAAGATTGTCCAGGCTACGCAACGTTAATGTTTCGGTTAGTCGACCTACCAAAAGCGAATTAGACTGGAACCCAAAAATCCATATCCCCGTCAGATACGCTTTCTTACTCTTTTTGCTCTTTACAGAAAACAAAAGAAAAAAAAAATTGTCCACAAGAGGCATGCCAGCCCACTCCATCATTGAGTCTTGTACCATTGCTTTGTGTGGCACTTTTTTTATTATTATTAAGGCCACGAGAAAAATAAGATGATTAGGAAGGAAGAGCCAAACTTTGTTTGAATTTTCCAAATTGGCGGGCATGCTAATGCTACTAGGCCAAAGAGTAATCAAATAACTTGTAAAACTCTTTTTTGATCTTTTTGGTTTATTAGACTAGCAACCATTCTCGACTTTTATGAAAAAAATATGAAGCAAATTTTGTCATTTGATAAAATTAATTATCTAGGACAGGACATAAGATAGGAGAATGTAAAAGTAAGGTGTAATCAGGTACAAATGCACCCTTATTTGATGCTATGATACAATTAATAGACGACATTCAAAATTTTACTTGAATCCTGACACTTATCGGACGGATACCCGAATTCCTTTCCTTCATGCTCATAATCTAACATGTATACGGGCGGGCCGCAAGGGCTACCTACCAAAGGGCAGAATCAGTCCACCCGGCGAATAAAAGAAAACAGAGCCTTTAGACAAAAACGATTACGTGACAGTTAGTCCAAAGATATTTTCCATCACAATTAAAGCACATTTTCAATACGTGTGATACTTTCGGTGCACCAACTGAGTCTATATTTATATGAGTGGGACCCAGCATCCCAGAAACAAAAATAAATACAAAGAAAACCTAAAACACGTGCTAATATTAGACAACTAACGAAGAAGGTATCTTTTTCGAAAGAAAGCTTAGCATACAGCATGTGCCAACCCACGAAAATTAAAAGAATGGCTTCAAACCCCACGCAGAGATAAGCATTAGGAAAGCGAGGAGGAAGCAGGCACCGAATAAATGCCAAACACCCCCTCTCACCAAAAACGTTTGCCTCTCTCAAACTTCAAACACCGTCCCTACTCTTAGCCATTCCATTTGTATTTTATCCCTCAAAAAGGATGAAAAAGGCTGTCACAATTAGCTTAGACCTCTACCAACTATCTTCCTGTCGGGTCCTTTCTTTATAACCTCCGGCTTAGAATGACTGGGTCTCCCTTTTGTCCGACCGAATACGCGTTTTCTTAGGTGTAGCGGGGCAGCGACTAGCAACCATAAGGGGATGCACAAGTCAACCTGTAAAGAATTCAAAGACCACGTGTTACCATCTGACAGAGATGGTATAAGTTATGCCAGAAATAATTTCTCGCAAGCAAAATATAAATTAATTAATTAAAATTTCCATTTACGATTTGGATCCATAAATATAAATGTCGGCAAATCCAAAAATTAAAAGGCAATTCCTGGTTAAAAAAACGTTGGGTTCTGTCACGGTCCATGTGCCTCCCCCAGTCAACACCGTGTGTGTTTTTTCTTTTTTGGTACCTTTCGCTGACTTAGTTTCGTTTCTATCCTATGTCGTTAAACAAAAACGTAATATGAGCCCACCCCTTGCACTTTTCATGTGGTTACATGGAAGCAAGCAAAATTACCTTTGATTAGGCTTTTACTTGATCCAGGTTGAGATCCATCACATTCCTGGGCTTCAAAGGAGGGAGATTTTTATGAATATAAGAATTTCCCATCTCAAAATATCATACGTTGATTGAATTGACGCAATGATCTATTTGTGAATTACAACTTATTGGCTGAACTTTAAATTTTGCCGCGGAGCAAAGTATCAGGAAGAGTGGACGAGCTTGCAGTATTTTTGAATTTTTGATAATAAACAAAACAAAAAAAGCACGTTTTCTTGCTAAGCCAGACGTTGGAATTCGAGATCCGGGAACGTTCTTTTCTACGCTACAACTAGTAACAAAGGAGACTAAAATTACCTCTCTCTGCGCTTGTCCAGAAATCTCTGCAAAGACTTTCTCCGAGTAATAGGCAAATCTGCATGATGATCCAACACAAGTGCTTACTTTTCCAAAAATACTTAAACTTCTTTTCATCTGAAATCAGAATGTTCACGTACAAATAAATAAAAAGGAAGAAAAACAGAAAAAATAACAGACGCTAACCTCCATTAAGAGTTTCCAGCAGCTGTCGTTGATCGCTTGAAGGAGTTGCAACTTCTGACTTTGTTAATTCAGCATTTTTGGAGCTTCCTTCAACCGCAAGTTTCAAGATGCTCTTCGCCTATTCGAAATTTAATTCATAAGGTTTTCTCTTCCTTTGGATAATTAAACATGAGGTTTTTAAAGATTCTAATCAGACAGATAACGTTTAAACAAACCTTGTCTCGAGGTACATTGAATATGGAAACCGTTCCCTTGTAGAAAATCGTCAGGGGAGCTGTTTCAGGACCCTTCTCAGAAGTAGCCCTGAATAAAAGAATATTCACAAATATTATTACACCAATTCAACTCAATTTTGATGTAAAAGACAAAACATCAAGGAAAATTAGATTAGCAACGAAAGGATTGAGCACCTGGCTACAGGACTAAGAACAGGTAAAGTAGGAAGGAGACTCTGAGCTTCTTTCGGGCTCGAAGGCACCGAAAAAGACTTGTTCGAATCAATCGGATTCACATTTTCCTGACTCTGGTTCGTCAAACCAGAGGCTATCACAGATTTGATAAGCTCGGGATTCATCTTGGAAATGGCACCTTGAAGACCTGTTCAAGTTAACCAGCAAAATTTAGAAAACACAATCATCCAATAAAAAGAAGAAAAAAAAAAGAGAAACCATTAAAAAAAATACCTCGGAAGCTTCGACGGCGATCGAGGAATCTCTGGAACTGGGATTTGCAGGAGCTCTCTTTCTCCATTCCGAAGAAATCCAGCTCAACGGTAGCTCTCGACATACTTGAGTAATGAGAAGAAAAAGGGTTTTCTCTGCGTTGATCGGTTCCCGCTAAGAGCAAGAGAGGGAGAATGTTTATGATTTAAAGAAAAAGGAAGCCGAGAAAGTGGAATATAAATGGAGAGGCGGGGAGCGCCGAGCAATAAATGAAAATTACATTTCACGAGATGCATGAGAAAGTTATAAAAAGGGGGATAGATTCTAGAGAGGTGGGGCCCGTTTCATTGTCTTTCTTTGATGGGTTTGGTACTTACTGCATAAAAACGCACACGCCTTCCACGTGGAATCTGTGCCACCAACAAAAGCAGCAGGTCGAACCATATGACCTTTTTGCGTGATGTGGTTTGGGTCAGTCCTGGCGCTGTTTTATTTCTCATGACTGACTTCGACTAATGTGATGGAGCATGCGAGCAAAGATATTTCTTTTGATTAGGACTTGTAGGGAGGAGGTCGGACCATTTTGATTTTTTCCTTGTTTGACAAGTTCCCCCTTTGTAATTTCATTTTAGCAAATGGAAAATTCCTATCCTTTTTGTAGCCACCGTGGATTCATCGCCTCATCACTACTAATCTTTTTGTTTCTTGTCAAGATTTTAAAATATAAATTCTGAAACAACAAATCCAATGTTATTCTCCAAAAATCCATTCTGTCACCCTTTATCCAAAAAACAATGTTTTTCTTATGCTTCTCGTCTCAAGCTCAGTACAGTAGCTAAACCTTTCATTACTATTGCATTTAATCATGTTGTCACTTCCAGTGTTCCATCAAACTTGTTGCTCGACGCATCAGCTACAAGGAACTGGAGTCTGTCATGTTACACGTGAATGACATCAGTTTAATGCTTAATTTGTTCAAGGCGGAGTCTGTGTGGAGCAACAGATTCATATGCGTCAGATCGTCTGAAAGCGCTACCAACAGCTTTCCTTGCTTTGATGCTTTCCGCATTGAATGTATGCTGGAAACATTTGTTTGCCCCTGCATCCTGGCTACTCCGCCACTACATATTTATTGTTTGTTTGGTCCAAGGAAATGATTATTTTGCTATTTTATATTCTTATATGTATAGTTTTTTTTTATATATATTTGGTTCATCTTTTAATTACAGAATTGTCGTTCTATTACGGTCTCCCTTCGTAGTGGTTATTTCACACGAGTCTTAATAGATCAAAAGTATTTTTGAACAAAAATGTTCTTAATCATTTTGTTACTATCTTATATATAATAAAAAAAATATATTTTTCTTTTTTTCTCTCTCTCTTCCTCGTTCGCCTCACTCCTTTATCTAAACCTCTTCCACTATCATCGTCCTCCTCCACAACGACCGTCATCCTTCACCGACCAACACCGTCAAACCCTCTTTTCCCTCTTCCTCCATAGCAATTAGCGTCCTCCTCCATGTCGAAGCTTCAATGTCTAGATCTGATTGTTGATAGTGTCAAACTGACACTCCATTGCATTGAAGACATCTCGGGTGGTAGTTGGCGATGAATTACAGAAAAAGAAAGAAAATAAGAAAAAAGGAAAAAATTGAAAAAATGAAAATCGATAAAAGAATACAAAGAAATTAAAATAAAAAAATTATATTATTAACATTTTAATGATAGCTTATTAAATTATAATTTAGTAAAAACATACTTATTGCCCAAAAGATAATGAGTTTAAAAGCTCTTAAAATT